ATTATGACACTCAATAGGACACAACAGAGAAAAATGATTCATTTAATCGACCTCGCTTAGTGGGATAAAGGCTTGTTGCTGTTGTTGTTGTTTTATGATATTTTTTAGTAATGTATTTATACATATGTTAATATTTTAATATTTGTCGTAAATTTTTAATAAGTACTTTGTTTAATATTATGTGATTATACTCTCGACCAAAAAATAAAAGCTGCTTTCTCTCATCTATTCAATCTACACTTAAGCATATATAATGCACTTTCTCTTGAAAATTCTAAACTTACTAAAATTTGATCTTTCACATATTCTCTATTTAAAAACTCATTTTTCGAAAATGCGTTATAATTTTGGACTCAAGATGAGTCAGTTGCTATTATAGATCCAATTAATCCTTCAATTATTTTAAGGGTTCCTCTTATGAAATATGCTTCTGAAGCTAAAAAAAGAATTTCGAAGCCAAAAACAAGAGTTTTTAAATCATAAACTAATCGAGGTTAGTAATAGTCCACACAGTAGTCTAGCCTTTCTAGTTATAAATCATGCTGAATAGATTGAAGGAAAAACAAGATTAATAATTAATTATAAGAAACTTACTGATAATACTAAATTCAATGACTATTTCTTACCAAATAAAGAAGTATTAATCAATCATATTAAAAAAACCAAATGATTCTCTAAATTAGATTGTAAATCCGAATTCTGACAAATAATGATGCATCAAATAATACAGAGTTTACTGCTTTTAGTATACCACAAGGGCACTATCAATGGAATTTTATGCTCATTGGAGAAGAATGGATAATATCTTAAGTTAATTATCAAGCTTTTGCCTTATATACGTAGATGGTATCCTAATATTTAGCCAAACCATCACCGAGCATCTAAAACATTTAGCTTTGTGTCCTCAAAAAGCTTAGAAACATGAAATAATATTAAGCAAAAGGAAAATCGTCTTCTTAACTAACACTATTGAATTTCTAGGACTTATCATAATGGTTCAATTGAACTGCAAGAATCTATTTTAACAAAAATTGGTCATTTTAATCAAATAATTAATCAAAAAATTTGCAACGCTTTTTAGGATGTATTAATTATGCTGAAGCGTTTATTAAAAATCTAGCAGAATTAAGGGCTCCGTTACAAAAGAAATTACGAAAAAATATGATTTGAATTTGGGATGAAAATGATCAAAAGATTTTATAGTACATTAAGGATCTATGTAAAAAATCTTCCTAAACTACATTTACCAATCTCTGGTGATTATTTGATTATAGAAACTGACAACTCTTACATGAGGGACAATTTTAAAGATGTAATAATACTGAACTTTTATGCAGATATAGCTCAGGTATATACACGGACACTGAACAAAACTATCATATTAATGAAAATGAATTATTAGCCATAAATAAAACTATTAAGAAATTTGAAATATTCTTAAATGAAACATTTTTAATTAGAACTGACAATAAAACAATTATTTCATTCATTAATGGAAAAATCGTAGATTCGTTACCTAATTAAAGACTAATTAGATGACAAAGTTGGTTCTTTGATTATACTTTTGATTTAGAAAATATAAAAGGAAATAAAAATGTTCTAGTTGATATTCTAACACGAGAATTATACAGGAAATAAATATGGGTATTGAAAATATGAAAACTTATCATATATCTTGTGAAACTGAAGAAAAGCCCAGACATAAATAACTACTTAGAATTGTTTACTTATAAATCTGAAAATTAGAATGCGAGATGCCTTTTAAAATACTATTCTAAAAGAATTATTTAAAGTAAAAAATTATCTCACCGGAGAAATAACAGAAGGTGAACTGCCCTCGATATCTGAGCTACGAAAAAATAGATATTTTGTAAATCTCAGAATTACAAGAGAAGAATCAAAAGGAAAACTTTGTTAGTTACTGAATTACAAAATTTTACTGCAAAAGAATCATTTTCCTCAGAAAGAATGCATACATATGCTAAAATACTACAAGATACATCTACAAAGAAAATCACAGAAATAACTAAAAAATGACAGTAATTATCACTCTATAAGGAAAGAATTAACCCCCAGATTTATTTCAGTACAACAGGAAAATATCAGGTTGTTTATATTTATGGAAATACTGATTTAAATATTGTTTTAGAATTATACAAATATGATTTAATCTGCATAATATATTTAGAAGATGAAAGTCTTCTAAGAGAATTACCAAAACCAATATTTGAAGCAGTGGATACCTTCCACCAGTTGCCAAACATTGAAATTTAAACATCAAATTATATCACTTGTCTCGAGAAAGGAGTTATTTCTCTTATATATTTTGGAATTAGTAGTGAGTCATATACTCTGAAATACAAATCTACAGAATTACTACATCAGAGATCTACCGCTGAAGTCTTATATCAAATATGGAACGAAACAAAGAAAATTGGTTCATCAAATATTTGAGTATATTACTACTCCAAACAATTATTTAATATAGTCATTGTAAACAGTCAATAAGTAAAATACATTAAATAATGTATAAAAAATGGATCTCTATCTTAAGCAAGAACGACATAGCTGTCAGCAAAGAAATATTTTGTCAGAAATTACAGAAAGAGAAAATTCACAATTGTACGTACTGCTAGAAGAAGGATATTATTAGGGAATAAGAGATAATCTCGAAGCTAAAAATAATGGAAGCCAGCTGTAAAGAAAAAAATATGACGTACACATGCCAACTCACCGAATTATTATCAACCAGAAAAATAGTGGAAGCCAGGTGTAAATAAAGGAATTTGACGCACACATGCCAAATTACCGAATTACTATCAACCAATCTGGAAAGCAATAAAAAATTTAGTCACATCAATTATATCCTTCACTTGCAAAAAAGATTCTCCACCAGCAAAGCATCAAATATATCCTCCACTTATCTAATGCATCAGCAATGACGAAAATGTATTTATCTCCTGCCTATATGTTGCTCTCTTTTCTCTTTTTAGGGGCAGAGCAAAAGAAGCCAGTCTTTCTTCTTCTTCTTTTGTCTACCCCTCCTCTAGTAATCTACTTATGTGTGTCTACCACTGCGGCTAAGTAAACTCTTCTCGCTCTATGTCTGTAAGTATGTTTTGAAGTATTGAAAGTTCATATGTTTTATTTTTTCAATTTGTTTAAATAATACTATGTTATTTTGATTCTACTTCTTTTGGCTACGCTTAGTGTAAGAAACGAATTAAAGCCGTGCTTTGAATCTCTGAAGTATTTATATAGGGTTGTGGTCTGTTGTAGATCTAAATGATTTGGTTGAACCCTAATTTTCTTCAGAAATCCATGAATAAAAATATAAAATGAATCAGAGATTTTAAGGTCAAATCTTAGAATAAGAAGAATCAAAGTAAGATAATATTATGTTAAACTCTCAATAGGAAGCATGATGGACCCGAATATTTTAGAACATACAAATGACAGAAGAGTGACAAGAATTTGTTAACTGTGGAAGATGATATAAACAAATTAGAAATAGGAATAAGAAATTTAAAGAAAAATGTTATAAATGATATCAAAGAAATAGAAGAGTTAGAATAGAGAATAAAATACAATTTCTTAATACAAAAATCTAAAACTCAAAAACATCTGAAACATCTAAACCATCAAAGATAGGCCAAGTACGCAAAAATCCTCTATGTGTTCGTTAAATTCTTACTATAGTAAAATTAAAGCCAATATATTTAGAGATATATCTGACAAATATGATGTTGAATAAATTCTATCTCAAGCAAGAATTTGACAGGATTTGCGAATTATTATAAATAAATATAAAGAATAAACAATTGGAAGTTTTTCAGAAAGAACAAATTTTTCATATAAAGTTTCCGTTAGGAAATTCTAATGAATGGATTATATTAAGTTATATGATTTTAAAACAACAATTAGAACTAGGACTATACTCTGAAACTATGTGCTCGTTTGGGGCGTATTAAATTACAGACGACATTTTCAAATTGTCGATGTCCTACTTGGTTAACACATTTGCACAACTTTTATCTAAATGCGGGTTTCGATTATTTAATAAATGGTGCCGCGAGAACGACCCCGCAACGCGCATTGAGCTCTCGCGTTTTAACCCACTGCCCTCGTCGCGAGCTTTACAGAGGATCTCCCTTGCTCTTTCCTCCCTCGATCTCTCTTGTCCCCTCTTAGTAATCTCCTGTCGCTCTTGCCTTTCTCTTCCTCCCCTCTACAGTGTGTGGTAGTTATATCTGTGGTAATTTCGCTTTCTTGATGCGATTTTGGCTTTCTTCCTGCGAAATTGGGTTTTTGATTTGTTTATGGTTTACAGAGAATTTGATTTGTTCAAGAGCATTGTTATAGAGATTTGCTTGTCTATGGAGGCAGTACCATGAGGTGTGCTTGTTCTGGAACATTTGAACATTTGTTCTGTGTGAGTTGATGATGGATGTGAGTTGTGCTTGTGTGTGGTAGCTGTGAGATGTGTTTATGGTGGTTGTGGTGGCGTCAGGTGTGTGTTCTAGTGGGCCTGGGTGTGTTGGTAGGAAGTTCAAAGAATTGACTGGAAGAAAGTACGATAGGCTAAAATTTAAGAACAAGTGAGATCAATTAAAGTAGTGAAAGTTATGGAGGGAGATGAAACAAAGATCTACTAGGTGTATGCATGATGAAGGCAACCAAATGCCTCTATTCTTTTTGGAGCAATGAGTTTTTAGGCTACTTTAGATGGCATTTTTTTTGGTGATATGCACATGTGACACATAGGAGGCTAATATGCGGGTTAAGACAACCAAGAACTCATTTCTTTAAAAGGTAAACTGTCGTACTGTATTGACAAATTCGTTGGTTGGTGTGGTGAGTTCTTTGAGTCCACATGCCTGCTACTTTTTAATCATATTTTCGTTTCCTAATTCATTTATGTTTCTTATTTTCAATTTTCACGTTTTTTTTTAATTTCATCTAATTTTATGACTGACGTGTTCTCTCTTGAATTATTATAGGAAGATAAGCTCCGGATTTTCGGGGAACTCCGGGCGAGTGTTATGCCTCTGTTAACAGTCGTTATTGTTACTCTCGTCACGCTGGCCACATAGCTACAGATGACAGTTCTACAGGTGCCCACGGTGGGCAGACGGTCCGGATAAGTGTGAGTTCTTCAGGTGAGCAGACAGTCCGGCTGATTCCACTGTCGATAGTGATCGGGGTTCGACGGTATCCCAACCAGAAAACATTGCTCAGGGTTCGACAGTATTCCAACCAAACAACGTTGCTCGTGACATGCTTCTTTTTTCTGCATTTTAAAATGAATATTATCATTCTTTTAATTGTAATTTTAATGTTTTTTTCTTTTTTATTAGGTTTCTTGATACTCACTCTTAAGTGAGGTATATGTCCTTTTTTGTACTATTATGAAGTTTTTTTTAGTTCTAAACTATCAAATATATCACTATTAGAGCTCTGTCGCAAACAGCACAACCGCACAATGCCAGAATGGTCATTTATCTAGAAACAACTGCAAATCAGTTATTTTCCAAACACACAAACCAAACAATCCAAACACACAAACCAACAATTAAACAACTTATCCAAATCAGGGACAAAATGTTTATTTATCCAAAAATAACTGCAAAACAGCTATTTTCCAAACGCACAAACCAAATAGCCAATCAGTTTATCAGGATAAGCTGCGGATAAGCTACAATTGCCCCAAACAGACCTTATATCTAACGAGCTTGTTAGTCTACGAAATTAAACCAAATCAGTTAGAAAAAATAAACATTTAAAAAACATAATCCAATCTAGATATGAAAAATTGGCAAACACAGAAAATACATCCAATTTACATGAATTAGGTATAAGACTAATTGAAAAACAACAAGTTCTTTGCAGGATTTGTGAATTATTGCAGATAAATAATTTCAAAGCCATAAAAAATATTATTAATATTATTGTAGTTAAAAAAATAAAATTTTTTCTCGGATAATTTAATGTGATTTAGGCACAAATGATATTTACATGAATATAAGAATTTAAATATTAAATATATAAATATGTACAAATTTTATGCTACGTATGTATATCCAACCAAACTTTTATTCAGATGGGCCGCCACGATGTAACGTTGCATGCATTATATTTCACGTAAACAATAACCTGTGTAGCTATTGGAAACAACTTCAAAATTAACAAATTCAATTGACTTTCAATTTAAAGATGGAGAAAATTGTTAAAAATTATCTCATGATTTTCTTATAGAGGGTCATTTACAAAAATGCCAATTTAATCCCAGTATTTTTAGAGTTTGTTTGGCTACATCTAGGATTTAAATATTAATTTAGTAAATCTGAAAATTGTAGATCGGTTAAATCGATTCTTGGTTGGATTTAATAAATCTGAATTTAAACGGAATCAAATGTAAAGTTGGGCTAACTAAATTTGAAAATTCAATGGTGCTACCAAATCAATCCCTTAATGACAGATATGATAATTCCCCTACAGATTATTTTAATATGTATTCAAAGACCTTAAAGATTAATTTAACACTTATGTAAATTCTAAGATTAAAGTCATCTCCTAAATAATCAAGAGATCATTGATACTTTTTCTCATTAAAAATATCTCGATCAATTTTTAGAAACAAGAGAGGCTTTCAAGTTTAACAATATTAATTCTTTAAAAATGTAATATGAATTATGAAAATTCACTTTAAAATTGTTATATAATCATACATATCATAGAAACTTCATCTTGAGATTAATCATTTTGTCTCTTCAAAAACCATTTATATAAGAGTATTGTTACATAATTCTTTTTTGGAACAATACCAAGCATTTGTGAGAAAAAACATGCGTACCACAATTCTAATTTATATACATATCTATCATCTAAACTTTCATATGCACATAACACTAATCACTAATTTCACATAAATATATCACTACTATTGACTTTTTAAAAGTAAAGTAATTTTCATGCATAAATTCATGACACCGAAATATTATAAACGTAAATATCGAACTTTAGGCATCAGATATGTGAATACAAAGGAATTGTATGGTATTGTACATCAGGGACGTGTCAGCACGAATCACAAAGATATCGCATGGATGGTGGGAGTGATGGTGTAGCCCTGCTGGACCTACCAAGGATTGACCATGACTGCACACTCAGCTGGTCAGGCCAGCATATCGGGAAGATATTGCAGCTCAGACGGATAAAGAGTAGATCAGCCCCTGGAAAACCGTTATGCCAGAGCCCATTAGATGAACTCGGCGCCTTTCAGCTCAGATAGGCCAAGTACGCAAAAAATCCTCTAGTTTCGCAATGGCTGACTCAAACTTCCAGCCAGTAAACACACAGACAGTCGCTTGACCTGCTACCACCTGTCCTTATGGTCGCTTTACCATATCCATGGGACCTAGAGATTATATTTACAAAATTGTCTTAAGTACCCCGCTGTATCTACGAGCCTTAGGGGTACTGAACATAATTGCATAATGAACCATTTTTATAAATAGGGGGTCCATTTTATGAATGGAAGCTACATAATTTTTAATGTTCCACATTGTGATATTCTTCAATTCTACTCTCTTTTGATCTCTGGTGCTCTATTCCTTAGGCATGTCTCACGGACAGATTTGGATTTAACATCTTAAAAGGCGCGGTGAGCGTGGAGTCATACCATCGACAAGAAGAGGAGTACAACGATCTCGAAGAGAAAGGAGCAATCAGAAAATAGTAGCCAACAGAGATCCCCAGCTAGAAAATCTTGCAGACACCAGAGTCCACAGTCGAACCCGTCCAAACAAACATTGTCCACATCGTCGAGGTAGTTCCGACCATCATTGGAGGAACTAATCCCCCTCCGTGGAGCTCCTAGAAAAGAACCAAAACGGGCGAACTATGCAACCACGCGTCCATACAATGAGGAGGCAGCTGTCCCCCCATCACGTTCACCATCGACAACCTTCCCAACTAGAAAACCCTTATGATGAAGCTATAGTCGTTACGGGAATCATCAACAATTTCCTAGTCTGGAGTATCCTTAACGATACCGGCAGCTCCGTGAACATTTTGTTCAAGTCAGTGTTCGATAAACTTAATATTTGGGCCGACCGATTGGTAGTGTCAGTTGACCCACTTTTTGGTTTCTCAGGCGAGAGGAAGGAGGCGTTGGGCACCATGCCATTGAACAAAATGTTGCAGACACCATTTTGGACAACCTTCCCAAATGTCCCAAATGTCTCCCAATCTCCAACCTTCCCAAATGTTGCAGACACCATTGGCAGTCATCTAGGGGGAGGGAGAAAAGTAGTACACGAGGAAGTAAAATTCCCTGATTGTAGATTTGTCTCCAACTTATAACGTCATCTTCAACCACCAGCTACTGAACCATTTCAGAGCCGTAGTGTCTACTTATCACATCACGATGAAATTCTCAGGAGATTGGGAGGACATCACCGTCAGAGGAGACCAAGAGTAATCGCGATTTTGTTAACTTTGAGCGGTCGACAGTGTCGACTAGGAGCCACTTGGACTACAGAACCTAAGGGAGGGAAGTCTCGAGGCCAATGAGGCTACCCGAGAAGTCCCAGTCGACAAAGGTGAGCCCGATAAGTCTTTTCTAATAAGTGAAGGCTGTGGGCTGCCAGAAACATGAAGTGTGAGGGCTGACAGCTGATTCAAATGGAGGACAACATGGATTGTGGAAGGGAGGTGGCTAGAAAGAGGAGAATTGCAGTAAAGAACAACAACGATGACTTTCCTAGGCGGTTGGAACGAGGAAAGAGACATAACAACGAAGCCAGAGGTGTAGGAAAGGGAAGGTCGATGATAAATACTTCCTCAGGAACGATCTATAGCCATAACAACACTAGACCCTTGGAGGAAAGTCACCACCTTGGACGAGCTTTAGGCGGAGCACCACCCGCCTTTAAATTCAGCCTTACAAGGGATAAACTGGAATGCTGATAGCTGTCATAAACAGAAATACGACATAATTGAAAACCTAAAACATGAAAAACAAATCTAAACTAATAAGATAATTAGGAGTGGCTTAAGAAGACCGGTCAACTCATCATCGTCGAAAAAACCTGGACAAGTTTGGTTTAGGCATGAAAGACGGGAACCAATTTTGTCTCTAGACTTCCCACATCACTTCGATCATGGGATTTTCTCTGCATCTTACCTCACATCACTTTGATTTTTTGGAGAAGTGAGATGCTTTACCATGAAATACATTATAAGACTCATGTAAGTAGATCTCATTTTAAAAATGGATTAACAAATACAAGTAAAAATAATATAAGGTAAAACTAAGGCTTGTTTTGAATTAATTTCGTTTTTTATTTTTGTTCTTACTTTTATTTTTAAAAGCATGTTTCTTTAGTGTAAGATTTTACATCATGTTATTTTTCGTTTCAAAATACAAACTAAAATATTTTTAAAAGCACTCACAATAATTTTTAAGTGTTTTGAGCGTTTTAAAAACAGTCACATAAGTTTTATTTCAAATCAAAACATTAAAAAAACAACAAATAAAAAATAAAATTGATCGCAAACGACCCTTAAGCAAATAAAAAATTATCTTTTTTCTTTCATATTAAAAAATTGTTGACATGACTGACTTTGAGTCTAACTACTATGTAATGGTGATCTATTGGCACTGTGAAATGATAGCAACTCATGCATAAATTATCAAAGATTCTACAAGTTACATCATATTAACCTGGTTTGAGTATTATAAAGGTGTTCTCGAATTCAATTTGAAACTCAAAATAATAAAAAATATAGCAACTAATGGAAAATTTTGAGTAGCCATTTCATTAACTTCCAATTTAATTTTGACAGCATGACTCAAGGGGTGTTTGGTAGCATACTATTCATAGGATTTAGCCATGAATTTGACTTAAATCTAACTAATAACAACAATCCTTTATCTCACTAAGTTGGGTCAGAGATATGAATCCTTTTTCTCCATTGCGTTCTATTGGGTGTCATATTTTCATTTAATTCTAATAAAATTCTAATAAATTAAAATCATTTTTTTTTCAATATGCCCAAGTCTTTCTAGGTCTACATCTTCCTTTCATAACATGAGTCAAATCTAAAATATCTACTCTCCTAGTTGGATCATCAGATAGTCGATGTTTAATGTGTCGAAACCATCTAAGATGACACTCTAATTTTGTCCGTCATTGGAGCTACACCAACCCTATCACAAATATATTCATTTCAGATTTTGTCTCGATTTTGTCTCTAAGTGGTCTCTAAGTGTAAAGCCACTCATCCAACGAAGCATTCTCATCTCGGCAACACTTAGTTTTATGCTTCTCTTTTAAAGGCAAACATTCAGTGCCATAGAATATTGCAGTTCTCACCACCAAGTTATAAAAATTTTCTTTTATTATAAACATTACTTTGCTATCACACAATAGGCCAAAAGTATTCCTCCATTTCAACCAACCAACTTGAATTCTACTAATAACGTCCTCATCTATATCACTATCACTTTGAACGATAGACCCGAGATATCTAAAGCGTTCCTACCATTTAATAATTTGGTCACCCATAGTTACAACTCTGTCACTAGGGCTACTACTACTTAAATTCATCCAAACTAAAAAAAATGAAAATTAAATCCAATGCTTTGTTAGATCAAATTTTCTTATGTTCTGTTTTTTTTTTCTCACTTTTCGTCTCTTTTATGACATAAATTCGAATTTACTAAATTTGATTTCGAGGTGAATTTATTCCATCATTGCTTGTGAGCTCTTCCGTCGCACACCGGGTTTGATAAATCTGAATTTATTGAATTTGATAAATTCTATTTAACGGAAATTTAAGCTGCAGCCAAACACCACCTAGGGGTTCTGGAGTAGCCATCTCGCTCTCCACCTTTGCTGATGACGTTCTCAAAGAGATCCATGTGAGGAATCCCTCCAGCGATCCTCAAATTATTTCCACACCTATTTATTGTACTCTTTTATATATGCATATGCATGTGTGTTGGGGTGGAAGATTTAACATTTCATTTAATTCCTCTGTATTACATATCTAACACCTAACCTTTAAATTTTGCATTTATGTCATTATTTATGTATAAAAAATGTATTTTATTTTTAAATACTTAAAATAGTAATATTTTTTATTTGATATGAAAGTTTTGGATAAAACTTAGTTGTTTGATGTATAATATATAGAAATTAAGTGTTATATGTGTGTGTGTATGTGTATGGGGCATTTACATGCATAGCACACAATTCTTTTGTATTTAAAAATCTCATGCTTGAGCTTTCATATATACATACATAACACTTAAATCTTTAATATCACACATCTAGAATAGCACTATTATTATTTTGTAAAGTGAAAAACACATTTTTATGCATTGGGTTAAAGTGACAAAGTGTTACCTTAGTAAATATGAGAGTTTAGATGTGAAATATCTAAATAAATAAAAATTGTGTGCTATATATATATATATATATAGAAACACGTGCACACAATTTATTTATTTATGTGTATTCAAGTTTGATCTTAGATTCTAAATTTCACTTTTATTTTCTCAGTGATATTTGATGGTTAAACATTCAACATAATTTTGTGATTTGTGGTTGTTAGATATCCTATTTTTAGGTAGGAATTAAGAAAGATTTTTCTGAGGATTTGTGATTTGCTTAAATCCATCAAAAGAGAGTTTTTGGACTTGTAATTTTATTATCTTAATAAATATGGTATAAGCTACATTGTCGATTAAATAAGATTTTGTTGAATCTTACTTTTTACATGATTGGATATAAAATTTTAAATCAGGATTGAGCAAAAGTTAATCGTGGTAATGTGGGCGTTTAAAGTTTTAATTCTCTCAAGAATTATTTGTTCTTTAGTTGGAGAGGTTTTAGTGTGTACTGCATTCTAAATGCAAGAGTTTTAGAAAATTAGGTTTGATTGACTCAGATCATTAATTTAAGACGTTTCATCGATGAATTTGAAACTTATTCTTAATTTTTAGATGTATTCCTTAGTAGTCTAAATCAACGGATTGTATATCATGTTCTCCTCTCCAATCCCGTCATCTCTCCTTCATATGCTGTTGATGTTGTCAACCCTGCTTTGGCTGAGTTCTTATCATGTTGATCTTCTCTTTCACATAAATTGATTCTATCATTACCTCTTGCTAGTTGTGGGGAGCGAACCTTTTGATGAAATTAAAGGCTACAACATGATATGAATCTCCTAATTTAATGTTTAAGAAATAAGTTTTATGGTAAAGTATTGATGAGTTTGGAGGGCTATAGCAGTTGAAATACGAAGAGTAACCTAAATGGGGTTAATTTGGAACTTCATATTAGGAAATGGGTTTTAAGAAATGAAATGGTTAGAAATGTCTTTTTTTTTAAGTTTTGTCATTTTTTTTTTGTTTCAAAATATTGCTTAAATTCTATTCAATATTTTGTTTAGATATGATTAAAAAACAATCATCTAAATCTTGCTCAGATTTTATTCAAAATCATGTCCAATTTTTTTTGCAAATCTCACCCATATCATACTCTAGATCTTACTTAAATACTATATTAATTGAGTTGAAAATTTTACTCAAAATTCTTCTTAAAATCTTCTCAAATACTTGTTCAAATTTTGCTTCAAGTTTATGCAAATACTGCTACAAATCAAAGAACTCTTGAGATGTTGATCTCCAATTTTTTGCCAATTTGCATGCTTGCTTTACATGTGGATTAATCCTTCGACATCGCAACTTCCCTAAATCGGCATGTACACTTCTCACTCATCATCTTTGAGGCCTTGAGATAGCTGTGTTTGCTAACAAGCTACCCAGTTGTTATGTATTTATATATCTGATACAAAAAACTTTGACTATTTACATTCATACCACCAAAATCTTTCATATCACAACAAACATATCACAATTTAATTTAAAAAAAAATAAAAAAACACCTTTTCATGTATATATAAAGTAGTATGTTAGTAAAAAAATCAAAGTTTTGGTGTTAGAAATGTAAATACAAAGGATCTCAGTGGTATGTATTTAAATATTTTGAAGTTTTATCGACACAACATATTGCATGTTTGGGCACGTTCTTCATTTCAAATGCACTTGTTACCCATTTTGTACACACATACATGTGTGCATATCTTTCGCTCTAGTCAAACTTATAACCACTACTAAGGTGCATCTTTGTGTACTCTAAATCTCTTCTCTATTTCGTCGAATGATTAAGCACATTTGCACAAATTTGCACTCACTTTGTACCCATCCATAAATCTTATAAACGAAGCACCTCGCATTCTAAGGCATCTAATTTGCAGAATGATTGCCTTTAAATGTGATGCACATAGGATAATTTTGATCATATGCAAATGATCCTTACATTCACAAGTGTTATTTAAGTTGATTGATTTTTTATTAAATAGCGCACATTACCATTTTATGGATCTGTTCATTGCACACCACTACATTGCCATAATTTGTTTATATTTTATTGACTGGTAGATCATAAAAGAGCATATTATTCTATTATTTGACTTGACTCAGATCAGTTGCAATATACATTGCATATTATACACAATGCCCATAGTATTTTATTATTTCATTGTATTTACATTAAAACTTCCATGAGTCGTCTTACAATGCCCAACATTTTTCTACTTGACTGGTTTTAATATTGATTGAATGATCTGCAATCAAGCTTACTTGATTTCGGTCAAGTCAACGCTCATATTTGGCACAAAATTAATTAATATAGTGTTGTTGCAACTGATTGGTAATATAGCACACATTTTATGATTACTTGAATAGTATTTTAGGACAGTTTATCCCAATCATTTCTAGGTCCATGTGACATTGAATGTCACATACCATTTGAGACAGTTTCATTGACCATTTTTTCTGTACCTTATTACACCATCTTGCATTTTTATACATAAACATATTAGTTATATTTTGACAAGATCCTTTATTGATAGTCTAGCCATGTCATTTCAATCATACTTCATTCTAGGCTAATCAGGCTTATTATTTGATCATGTCATTTTCCATCACAGTGATACTTCTTAACCATATCATTATCCCTTATAATCATGCTCTTTCAGTTTGTCCCATTTATAAGCTGCTTATATATTTTTTTCTCAAGTTATTCTTTGTGTAATCATGTTCTTTTGGTTACTCTATTGTTTTTCTAGTAAAGCTTTTTTTGATTACTCTCTTTTGGTTACTCTCTTACTATTAAGTTGTATGCAGTTCATTATCGCAGGTTTTGACTATTGTATATTTTACATAGTCCATAAATGTTATATTGCTCAAAAATTTCATTTGTTATAGATGCTTCAGCAATTTTGATTTCATCTTGTTTTAATAAGAGCACTTAAATGTGATATGTATGATGAAAATAAGTGTGATTTTTCTTGCTTGAATTGAACATTTTAATGATTTGATAATATACTAGTTTAAAATAAATTGGTAAAAACTTAAAAGCTAAATGTAATGTATATGATGAAAATAAAGTGTACTTTCATAACTTAAATTCCTTAATATTTTCTTAGCTGATTTTATTCAAATAAATATATTTCAAATCACCAAACTTTAGAACATTAGATCTTTTTGAACCACTATAATTTCATCTCCTTTTAAAAATAGAGAATGGTTGTAAAGTATATGATAAAAGTATGTATCATTTCCACAACTTGAATTTAGCTAATAATTGCTTACTAAATTTTATTGAAATTAACATGTTTTTTCACATCATCAAACTATCAATTATATCGAGCTCTTTTTCAGGCTCTTTTTAAAGGATTTATCATTAAACTATTAAAATAAATAAGCTCCATATATATCTAACTTCTCACTTCTTACTGTAATAATATACATAATTCAACTAAGTACAATAATAATAAACTTGAATAAACATATGATATAGAAAAAAATTTAAAAAAAAACAAAAATATCAATGAGAACTACATACAATTTCCATTTACTTTACCACCCCTACTGTACTCCTTTCTCTTCCCTCAATAGCCTCATTGCCTCAACCAAAACCCACTTAAATCTTGTCACGTTAAGCCTCACATTTTGTTTCTCCAAATATATCTCCTTCATCCTCTCCCATCCCAGCTTATGAACACTCTCCGGCTCCCTTATAACCGGATCATCTTTTCCATAAGTCTCCATTAAAGTGCTCTCCTCCTTCTCTATCTGATACTCTAAGTATCTCAACCTCATGTTGATCGCAGGCTCTTTAAAGTAAGTCTTTGTGATCCAATCCAACTTCCCCCATGGAACCACCTGTATAAGAACAGCATTCGTCGGCAAAAACACAAAATTAGTGAGTGCTGCACCATGCACTCCCATCATCACATCACATGTGTTCACCACACGTGCAAATCTTGTCACATTCCCCTCAGCTTCTCCCACCACCACCTCAAACCCTTGCTTCTTTCCTATCCTCACAATGTCCTTAACATTCACAAACCTCCTCGTATGTCTTCTAGCTATAACCAAAAGTCTTGGCTTCTTCACGCTAAGCTCTTCAGTATTAAGAGGTCCACTTCTCTCCAGCGAATAAGTTCTTCTCAAAAACTCTATGAACTGATCTGTAGACTCCTTGTCCTTGAGCTTCATATCATTGTAGCTCTGAAGGCCAACTATTGCCTTAGGAAAGCAGTGAACTGAGCCATTATCAGCTTTACTGAAGCTCAAAATGTCGTAGTCCGAGAGTCTTTGAAATATAGGGAGAAATTTGTTGATCCACGGTGCATAAGCGTCACTTACGACCAAGTGAACTTTGCCATGGAAGGTATAGGAGGTCTGGAAGAGTGGGATGAAGATGTCTGTGAAGGCATGGAAGTAGTTGCCAGAATAGCCACCGAGGGAGAACATGAGGGCGGGGGAGTGGTGGCGGTGAGTACAGAGAGGAGATTGATGAGTTTGAGAGAGTTTCAATGTGATTTCAGCGACGTTGGACATTGCAGTTAGATCAGATTTGCGGGCGTAAGGCCGAATTTTGTGCGAGCCATTGAATTGGGAGTCAACGACCAGTAATACAGACCATTGATTAATGGGGATTCGGACGTCGCCAGCTAATTCACATACATTAGATCTTCGGTTGGAATAATCACACATTGATTTCCATTTTTCAGGACTTATGATTTGTTCTTCTTTTATGGTTCCATCTTCAAGGGAGAAATAGAGGGGTTAATGTTCTATTAAAACATGCATACAAATACAAAAAAAAAAAAAAAATTTGTAAAAAAATGCTGATGTAAATAAGAAATTGAAAAGATAAGCTCTAACTTCAGTACATGTCTTCATTAAAGAAATGATGGAATTGGCAGACATAGCTGAGTAATATTCCATCACCCATGATTTAAACATCAAGGAATCAAATGAATAATTGGAAAATTGATGCATTCTCATGCACTATGGATCTATCCATTTTCTTGTCATAAATTATGCCTTGAATTTGTAAAGTTATTACATGCAAATGATGCATGCAACAATTAATGCTCTCATCATCCAATAAAAAGTTTTGATGGATATAAATTTAAAAAAAAAATTACATTTCACACCCATCAGGCTTGTCCTCCACCAACCCACTTTTATTAGATGATAGGCCCATCTCCATGTCCACTATCCACATTCAATCATTTTTAATCTTTTTTTGAATAAGATTATATATATATATATATATATATATATATATATATTGATAGCTACTAAAAAAATGCTAAGTTAAACCTATAATGAATTATCAAATGAAATCTATCATAAAAAGCTATAATGAAATTCATAAAAGTTGATAATCATGATTGATAACTAATATTATTTTATGAATATTCATTATATTATATAAATCTATATAATTTTTAAAAAGATGTATTTAATTTAATAAGTAATAGTGATATTTCTGTTGTGATATTAATGATTGGAGTGGTAGATATCTAAATACATCAAATTCCTTAGTTTTTATCAGAAAAATATGAATAAAGCGTGTGATCATCTTCATGACTCATCGACTTAACATACCTAATTCAGTGATGTTGCCCTCGTTTGCCTTCAGTTTGGATTCCGTGCTGGTAATTGCCGTATTGCATGCTACAAAAAATGAAAAATGTGTGTGTGTATTTTTTTATTAGTTTATAAGTCATTTTAAAAAAAAATCAGGTTATGTCTTACAGAAATAATTGAATACAATTCATTTCCCTTGTGAATATGAAAGATTAATTTTAATATTATACTTGTAATTGGTTTTTTTGTATAAATAAAGTTCGGGAATGGAAAAACTAATATTAGTATGATAAAGGTCCGTTTGGAGTTGTTTATTTGATGCGGCGGCGTTTTGAAAACGTACATGGATTGTTTGAGTAAACTGTGTTTTGACAGCTTATGCATTTTGAAAAAGCTGAAAATAATATTTTCACACTGCACTTATCTAGGTGCGGTGATAGCTTTCTGGCAGCTGTCTGGTTTTTCCAAAAAAATCAAAATTTCTAACAGCCACCACACCTAACTTATCATCAGATTATTTTTAATCAGTTTATCAGAAGATTATTCAATAAGCTTCAGTTACCACAAACAAACCTTTAATCTCACATTAATAATAAATTTTTATGTTGAAAGGTGATTATGAGTAGAGAGATAAATACTAATAATTTAAAACCATTTTAAACAAATGCTTTGCGTAAGCCACTTTGTCATTAAGTCGGTGGCATTTAAAAATCTAGAAGAGAGTAATTAAAATAACAGATTTTTAATGATGATTGACTTTTCTTTTTTTTTTTTTTTTTTTTTTTTCTCGATTAATTAAAATTACACTTTATGTAGCGACCACTTCTATTGGTAGGCTATAAAAAAGGGGGATTTTAGTGCAGGTACAGCATTTTAAATATGTGCATTTATTAATAAATCAGATAATTTTTAAATAATACTGCTCTGAGATTCCACACTATGAAGCCTTATTGATCTATCTATTTTAGTGTTATTTGGTGTTAAAATGGTGGGAATCTTCCGTTAACTCACAATAATTATTTATTAAAAAAACACTTTTTAAAATGAAAAACTACTTTTTTTTTCATTTAGTTCTTGATGTTGATATTTCCTTGATGAAAATACACAAGTTAGACAATATGTTAATTACATATAAACCTTCAATTCTTGGAACCGGAAAAAAATGTAATTGTTAATCGTTGATCAACCCCAAAGTCTGACTTCCAGACAGGTGTGCAATTCGATCCTATGCATGGATCGAACCCCCGACTGGAGGGACTTACACCAAAGGCTGCAACTAATGAACCAGGCGAAGACACATGTATGTATGTATGTATGTATGTATGTATGTATACAAGAATCTGGAGACAATGAAGATACCATGTGCAATTTAGGGAAAAGAAAGAGAATTAAACTTAAAATAGTATAATTTTTGTATTGATAAAATTCATAAATTTGATTCATGAATTAATTCAAATAAGATTAAATAACTTAATTACAAAATAGAAAAAAGAAAATGAGTAAAAATCAAAAGATTTGAGTGCTTCACAAAGTGTTCTTAAAGAATAAAGTAATCATATATGACTATTATGATGCATATCATTTTCAGTAGAATATATAAAAATCCTCAAATTTTGTTTGTACATCCATAATGCAACTTGATACTCTATTGCGTATGATGCTTATATTCCACCGATCAATTAGTTTATCAATATGATCTTGAAAATGACATGTAGGGCTAATATGATAATATCCAATACATGCATTCATATTAAATATTTTAGTTAGTTTGTGTTCCAAATTCATTATCTTTGCTATGAAATTTATGCAAACACATTTATAAATATATATTCTATCAATCTAGCTATCTTACCAATATTATAAATCTCCTTTACTTCATCTTCTACAATTGGATGGGGAAGATCAACCCTAACATCAGCAGAAGATGAGTTTCTCTGCATCACATTACTTTGGCAAAGATATTCTGATCTGCTTGAATCATTACTGCAACCAGTTTTGCTCTCAGCTGCATTAAACAAGCAGAATATAATCAAAAATTAATATATTAAAAATACTTAAAAACTAACTCAAAATGCCATATTAATGCAGCACTGTTAAGTATACCATTGCTGAATTCTTCTGTGCTCTTCAAATCAGACTCCTGAACTGTATCAGTAGATGATAACTTCAAACTAACTGCAACAAAAGAAATAAAAAAAAGGAATTATTGCTCCTACAAACTTATGAAGAAAATAAAAAATAATTAGACATAATTGAAGAATAATGATTTACTGGAGGAGAGGAGGGCATCATAAGGCTGGGAGATTGAAAGATATGTTAGAAGAACAATGAAGCAAACAAGAAGCAATCCATAAGTGAGCTTTCGAGGCTCAGCTTGCCTGAAGCTTCCTGCAAGCTTCTTTTCATACCCCATAACGCATAATTTGTGCTGAAACTAAGCCTTTAAAGTTTATTTCAATATGATGAATATTTGACTATAGGAACACGTTGCCATGTTTCTTTTATTATATTCTTAAAAATCACCTTTTTTTTTATTTTTTAAGGTTGATAGGTGCTTTTATTTCAGTTGTTGAAGGAAACCAGCTAAGAAGGTATACAGTTTTTGGGGCATTTACATACATACCACACAAATTCAATATAATTACATATCTAACACCTAAACCTTCATATAATTGTAAAAGAATAAGACATGTGTGGTCTGCATGTAACTGTTTTTTTTACCTCTAAGCTGCTCTTGTTTATTCATGTTTTCAACGAAATAAAGTATTTTTAGGAATGAGTTGCTAGAGATGTGAAAGATTAGCATGTGGAAGCAACTTTATTTAGGGTCAAGAACTATTTCTATAATTGATCTAGTTGGTGGAGAGGTCATTATAAGTTATTATTTTCATCACCAACTCTTGGGATCACTTTTTATATATATAAGCCATTATATTTGTTTAAACAACTGTTGGTGAGATATCTTTGAACTTGTGATATTAAAGCTTGACTATAGGGTCGGCATAAAGCTAGGCAAATTGGCCACGTAAAAGGCCATAAATTTCTTAAACTTTTGAGTAGATTATAATTAAGTGGATGGAGTTAATGTGAGACCATGTTAATGTTATTGGGTGCGATAGAGGTTCAACTTGTATGGTAAGGTAGAGGTTATTGGATGATTTTGTCATGGTAGCTTACGAACGCTCGGCATGTGCAAATACTTTGAGAAAAAGAGGAGGAATTTCTTAGGCCGTAAATTTATAATGGAAATTATTGGGGGAAGTTCACGGCCTGGATATTACCATGCCACATGATAATTTCTTCTTAATTAGTCAAAAAAATAAATATATATAAGTTTTATACAATTTAGTAGTGATTTTTAGTAAAATCATGAAAGTTGATCTTGCTACCTTTAATATGAGTAGGCCTACCTTCGACGGCCCCGATAATGGTTGAGTGTGACATCACTTAACTGTTATCGAAGGAGGTTTGGATGGAAACTCAAAATGTAGGCTATTGTCAAAAAGTGGAAATGAAATACAAACCAAGTTATTGTACAAAATGCATAAACTTTGGCCACAAATATGAAACATTTTTTATCACCCACCCTAACCTAAAGACCAATAAAAAATGATCAAAAATCATGATGATTGACAACGACTTTATGTATGCTTAAAAATATAAGTATTTAATACTGTTGCTAATAGATTTAATTTCTCAGTAACTGTACCAAAACTCAATAACAGTTATAGATTCAATAAATATGGATGTAATAAATATTTAATAATTGTAAAGTCACACTTATCAATGCAAGTATACGTATCGCTCAAGTAATATAGGGCTCTAGCGGAGTCCTAGATATCGATCCCACAGGGAGTAAGATTAGAACTACGAACTAAGATTTTAGAAAAATAATACTTTAATCACAACAACGAAGTTCAATTTGTTTATCTGTCACTAATAGGCAATTGAAATAAATATTTAATTTTAATAACTATTAAATAACTAATTATACTAATGATGGTTCAAATGTGATATTACCAATATATAAGAAAACATCATTCTCCTTGTCAAGAAATTATAGTGAATGGATAAAATGAATTAGTTCAAATTATATTGTGTCAAATAGAAGCATACCTATTTTTTACCCTTTGGTCCAGGCATAAAGAACATTGACTAATCTTATGCTTGTTTACTGAATTAGCGGCTAAGCTGGGGGGGGA